CAATAATATTTTCGAAGAATAATACGAGTTACTCTGTACGTTGGGCCATTTATACGCCGCACAGTGTTCTATTTTGGAAAAAATAGACAAAGTCAAAAGAGGATATTCATGAAAATAGTCTTGGATGGTAGAATTATTACCTTGACATTTATAATTACTTTTAAAAATAGATAGTTTAAATTTTTCCTTGTTTAGGCCATAGTGTAATAAACAAAGTGAAATCAATATATGACATATTTATTTCGATACGCTTATTTGACAACACTTTTGTCATTTCATTAACCCATTTGCCAATAGCAACATTATAAATGTATTTCAAATTCAAACATTTTTTATTACAATTCCAAAAATAATTTGTTTTAGAAAATAAAGGGCAACAAAGAAAAGAGTGCATAAAAAATGCCAGACACTTGCTGTTTATGATGAACTACCCACACGTGTAAAAAAGAGGAAGGTACGTTTATTGTGCTGAAGGATGTTACAGAGAGAAGAGAATCGATGAATGCGTGTGGTATTCAACTGACTGCTTTATCTAACGTATGCGGAATGAAATAGGAACTGACGCAGTAAAAAGAAACAGCTATACTTTGGGATGCAACAAATACTGTTTTCCCACTCACATAGATATTGTCGAAATTTCCAAGAAACATTTTTATAGAAAAGACTCATGTCCTTAACGATTAGCATGTTTAAGTTTTCAGGCATAGTGCGGAGGGTTTTTTCAAAAATGTTATTTTGAGACTTTATTGTGCCCACTTGAGTTATTATTTTTTAGCCATGTAGACGACATGTAGTTCAGAGTTATATTTAGGTGTCCTTTTATGGGTCCCCAATGAAAAATATTTCCCTAATCCGTGGTACAAAACTAAAATGAATGTGGTGCAAGCAAATTTTGGGAAAGCGCTCATAGCCGTTTTAATTTTCCTTTTCAACGTTAAAAAAACCTTGGGTAGAGTGGTTTGCACATATTTCAATATATCCCTGGCTCTTGAATAGTATCTAATGTTTTTATGCTTGCTTTGCACTTTATTGTCATTATACGCTGTGATTTTGCAGAGATCAAGCAATTTATGATTCTTGTTACGGTCGCATTTCGCCGCTATGTGANACATATTTCAATATATCCCTGGCTCTTGAATAGTATCTAATGTTTTTATGCTTGCTTTGCACTTTATTGTCATTATACGCTGTGATTTTGCAGAGATCAAGCAATTTATGATTCTTGTTACGGTCGCATTTCGCTGCTATGTGAAACATATTTTTCGCACTCGTGGGTTTTCCTTCTAGTGTTTTCCTATTCTTTAAAGCCGACATTTCCCTTGTAATAGAGAAAAAATTAAAAAGCACGTTACTTTTCGTGACATTGAGTTTCGGTATACAAACTTTACAAGCAAATTTTCAGAGTTCGTTCGCTTTCAAGGAAATTATTTCAGCATTATAATATACAACGAGGTCATTTTTAGTGTAATGCTTGTTAAGATTGCCCTGTAGATTTTGGTATACTCAGTTTGGCTCCTCAGTTTACCAGAATTTTTTAAAATCTGCTTAGAAATTGTCCGCATGTCATTCCGCATACGTTATCCAGGGCACAGTATAATCCAGAGTTTGCGCCACATTATTTATATACAGTAATAACCCTTTTTGAGTACTCCTCGGGGGTAAAATCTGATCAGGGTTGATAATGAGAAGGAGCATGAATTTTGTTGATTCAGAGTTGTTTACAAAATTACTATGGTATGAAAGGGAGCAACAACCGTACTATGGCTGAGTGGCACGAGACATTACTGTATTAGCGACCCACATAGAATAGCGCAGTGGTAGTGGCAGTGACAGTTTTTAACACGCAGTAACAGTTCGAAAGACTGCCGCTGCCACTGCCACTGCGTTATTGTAGAATCGCTATATAATAGTGACCGAAGTTAATTACGAAAGTGTAAAAAATTGCAAATTATTCTCTATTAATATAGATACTAACACAGATCATCAGAGTTCAGTGTTTAACTGGTTATATTACACCGTAAATGATAATGAATTGTTGAATACTGAAAACGCTAGTACTAAAACCAAATTTACGTAAAAATGCACATTCTTTGACGAGTAGTGAATTTCATATCCAGCTTGTAGCCAGATGCAGTGGCATGTGAGACTTATTTAAATTTACTCATCATGTTGGAGCAGCTCCGGGTAATGGACCTTTGGATGTGCTGGCTGAAGTTAAGACCACCTAACTAACGGAGTTTCCAAGCAAACGCATGACCTGAATTTATACGGTAGCAATTACTATTGTATGTGTGGTCACTCAAACTTGGGTGTGCTTAATAAGCTGTCTGGGCGGCTGCGCTGGCAGGAATTGGAGTCTCGATAACTATACAAAACACGTTTTTTTTTTGAATAAAGACTTAAATATATTCGGAATTTTAGAATTTTACTTGATAAATTCACAAAATAACACAAAATTTACGTTTTTTCATAAAAATATAATTTTACAATGAATATTTTTTAAATTTTAAATCTATATTTAAGAGAACTACATTCAGTGCTATAACTACGATTTGAGTTTTCCAGTTTATAGAAACACAAGCGTTAATTATGTACTTAATTATTGACATTATTATTAATTAAGCATTAATATTATACTTCACCTACATTTTGTTCATAAATAACACATAATTACATATATTTTATCCTTGAAAAGAACTTTTTCTAATCATGAGGCGAAATTCCCCACAGTTAGTGTTGCCGTGCGCGCAAAACGAAAACGCTGCACACAACCCAAAAGTACTCCTCGGGGACCAATTGGTGAAAACTGCGAAAAGGTTTATTACTGTATATACTGTGGCTTACAGCATGAAGTACAAACGCAAACTGACCGGCTGCTAGCGGCGCATAAGTGCAGTAGCTGCGCACACACGACTTGTACGTGAAAGCCGAGTAGCTCCCGGAGATTCCCGTGTGCACCACTGGTATAAATACATTCATCCATAGCATACGTGTTTTGTACACTTTGAGATTATGTAGCTCATCGTGCCATACATGAACAAAAGCCAAAAGAGGGTTAATGTAGTCAAATATATGAATTATTTACATTTAAATTTTCAAATAAGCGTACGTCATATATTGATTTCACTTTGTTTATTACAGTATGGATGGGATACTGATAGAAATCTGGCTCAATTTGTGATCAACTATGTTTGTTT